AGGCAGGAGTGACATAAAGAGGTGGGATCTTACCATAGAACAAGGGCTTAAAAATATTTGTTAAAGCCCTGGCCGGTTTGGCTCAGCGGTTAGAGCGTCTGCCCACAGACCAGAGAGTCCTGGGTTCGGTTCCCACTAAGGGCGCGTACCTCAGTTGCAGTTTGTCCCCGGCCCTGGGTTGGGGTAGTGTGGGTGACAACCATTCGATGTGTCTCTCTCGCTTTGATGTTTCTCTCTCTCTCTCTTCCTCCCTCTCCCCCTTCTTCTCTTATCTGAAAATGAATGCAAAACTGTCCTCTGGTGAGGATACAAAACAAAACAACATTTTGTTTAAAAGGAGATACTTGCAGGCAAGACTGAGGTTAATACAACTGTTAGCTTTTTTTTAGTCACCAAATTCAAGAAACCCAACCAGAACTGAGTCAATGGAGAAGAGCATTTGGCTGTCCCTCTCACAGCTATCTGGAATACTGCGTGGAATCCACTGTCCCTCACATTGCCCGTCAGAGGGGCCTGGTTTTAGGGTCTTGGATAAAGGATACTTTAGGAATTCCTTTTCACCTGGCCAGCTAAGAAAACCCAAGCCCCACAGCTCCTTCGCTGGACAATGGTGGGACAGAATGGATGGGACTAGAAAAGGGAAGACAAGAAGCACTTTCTTGGTAAAAAAGAACTTAGAAAACTCATTCCTGATAACCAGTTTTTGACGGTAATTATCTACCCTTTTCAACCACTTCTTCAAAGGATGAATTTGGTATTTCAGCTTGGAAAAGCAGTTTGGCTTCTCTGGTCTTGTCCCCGCCGTGTTTGCTATATTTGAGTGTGGATATTATAAAGACATGAGCCCATGTGTGGCATTTGCTATTTAATGTCTAGCTCGGGCCAAGAAATGTGGATAAGATGTACTTGTTTCAGATGTTTTGCCTTTAATCCTCCAACAAAGATTGGTCCCAACTTTGCAAACACTCCTTATGCTATCCAAATATCTTTGCCAGTATTTTCACATGCTGTCTTTGGCCAGTGTTCTCCTTGAAAGATCACTGAAAAAAAATATGCTTTTTTGTTTGTTTAATATCTGAAGAAAAACTGAATCAACTGAGGTTGGCTTTATGAGCTCAAGCATTTTGGGGTGACTAGGTCTCTTTCATGCTCTCCCCACTTCCTACCCCTTCATGAAACTCAAAATACAGAATGTTTCAACATACAAATTACTTTGGATTGTTTTTTACTTAACTAATCAAAACATTATTTTCTGGGCATCATTTGATGTATTAGTGCCCTAGTAAAATTTTTATACTGATATTTCCCCTTAGAAACAAGAAACCACATTTTCTCCAAAAAAATAAACATTCATAGGCAAGTAACTGAGACTATACACTCAAATCCTTCGTAACCCTGGCTTTCTTTAATGTAGTTACTTAGCTCAGTCATATACACATGCAGAAAAATCCAAAAGCCTTCCTATCCCTTCTCAATATTCAAGTTCTGGAGTTTAGAGTCTTGTCTATTTTGTGCTTGGCCTCTGCATTCTCAAATTCTCGTGCTGTCTAATCCAAGTAGCTGTAGGACTCTATTTGAATCCTATCTGATGCTTTTTTTACAGCTGAAATAGGAACCCTGAGGTCATTTCTAGGCTAACCCTACTGCCTAATCCATGAGAATGTCCTCATCACACGTCCCCTTCCCAATTATTTTTGAACTCAGCTCTTCAAAGTAAAATAAATAAATAAATAGATAGATAGATAAACAAATAAATAAATAACAGGGCTATAGAAGTAAAACACCCTTGAAGTTGCCTTTTTCTTTTTATCCTTCGTAGGAATGGCATTTTTAAACACTAGCCTGTGTCCGACATTGAACAGTCTCCACATGGGAATGAATGTTTTGATGAAGAGTCATTTAATATCTCTAGTTCCTTGGAATTCTGCCTACAGCTGGAGATATTCTTCACTGCGGGTTTTGTGCCTTCTTTGACCAGCTAGAAAATGGCTTCAAATCTAGAGGGAATAAATGGTATTCTCAAAACAGTTACTTGATTGTGTAGGTGTTGATGTCACAGAGGATATTTGGTGTGTGGAGAATGAGGAATTAGAAGAGAATGTTGAGATAAGGAGGAGTATGTTAAAGCAGAATCTTCGCATGGCCCTGTCACTATGTCCGTAGACTCAGTCTTTTGGTGAAAAATCCGGTTGTGAATACTGCGTTCGTTTGACAGGTCTAAGGAACGAGGCTCTGTGTGATCTGTACGCGATGCATTTATGTTTAGATCGACAAGGTTGAAACCGAAGACATTTAAACAAATATGATGATTTTTTAATTGCTTCCAATATAAAATTATGGGGACAGACTCTCATGGATGTGCATTCAAAAAGGAAGAGAAATAACTTTATTTCAAGAATACAAAGAGAATTTTGACTCAGTAAATTCTTTTAGCTTCAGAGGTAGTGTTCCTCTCAGTACAGTCTCTTCTCTTTAACTGTCATTCTTTTGAGGCAGAATATTTACAGAGCACTGAATTATATTTCGAGCCTTCCAACAGCATCTCCTACATTGAGATATTGATGGGACAATGGTTAGACGTTGGGCCCTCCGGACTTGTATTGTGTGGTGGTATTGTGTTGCTATTGTCAGGAGACTCCATTTTCTTCAGCCCCCAAGGTCCTGTCTGTACTTGTTTACAGGTCATCTGGAGAGTAACTAGTATGTGCTCAGCGGCATGAGTGTTATCACGGTAACCTTGGCAACCGAGCTAGCTCTGATTTCAAAACATCACATGCTGTATCATAAAATTAGATAACAGAATTGACATTTAGCTACATGTCTGTCATATAAATTATGTTCTGAGAATGATTTCCTTTAGAGCCATGTACCTTAATATGGAAATAAAAGGCACCAATTAGAGCAATTTTATACAAATACATACTATTCCACTTTTAGGTGCTAAATACATTTCCTCAGTTCTTTATAATACTGAACCTCAGATACTGCTATATTAGTCTCACTGTGCCAACATTCATGGTGGCTTTATTTTATGATCAGGATGAAGCTTACAACAGAGCTACATCAGATATCCTATATAAATAGGATTATGAATAATAGAAAACTCGACTCCTAAAAAATGGATAATTCAAAGCACTCTTGGCTTTACTGGGTACTGTTATTTATGCTGATTAGAAGTAAGAGTGTGCACACAATATTCTACTAAATCAGAACACCAAAGACAAGACATGCTTCCTTTTCATTTGTATATTTATGAATATTTTTACACATATTATATTTTCCAGTATCCAAGAATCCTTGATAATATCTTTATTTCAAGGACATTCTAAACATGCAGATTAATACATTCATCAACTTTGAGTCCTAAGTCCTTTATTATGATTTATAAATATTTTAATCTGGGGAGTGTTCTCTATATTTGCTGTGGTCTGTTGCAATATATATATATATATATATTCAAAGACTCAACTTGTGATTTACACTTAATGTGAGCACCCTGCAGTTTTCTGCTTTGCAAATGATTATTTTTAGAAATTTTATGGTTGCCTGGATATATTTGTTTGTCTTTATTGATATGTAGGGGGAAAGTTTATTAATGATTTAAAAGAAGGTGTTTTGATTAAAATTTTTTCTAGGTATTTTTTTAAGCAATTATGAATGGGGATTTTTTTTTTTTTTTAGTTTCCTTTTTTGATAGTTTATTATCAGTGTATAAAAATGCAACTGATTTCTGGGTATTTATTCTTTTACTGAATTCTGGATCCTGGAATTGCCTGCTCGGTGGCAAATATTAGTGGCAGGCATTCAGTACGTTTCTGGTCCCCATGGAACTTTGGTTCCTGCTCTTTGGACCAGTTTCTTCCCAGTTTCTAGCATATATAAATTTTCCTTCATTCATTTTGAGCTCAAGAAAGGAATTTTAAAAACACAGTGTTTTGATTCATCAACTTGATTCTTCTCATTACATAACAATAAAGGCAATACATTAACATCTAATAAAATTATAAAAGTTTATTTCTGAATTTAGCTGCCAGATAGTCTTGAATCCTTGGGCTTAACTCTTCTTATTCCTTATACTCTTCTGCCTCCGTGTTCTCAAAGTCATCTTTCAGGCTGTTTTAACCTAGAATGATAGTTCATAATTCTTCTGAAAGATACTTTTTAGCAACTGTCTGTCAAACACCATCATGGAACAACTGTTTTGTAAAACAGTTCTTTGGCTTCTGTAATGGTAAGTTGTTATATAAAAATGAAAGATCTTTATGTCAAAATTGACTATAAAGCAATTTTTCTTTCCCCCATATACCTGCTATATCATAAATAACATTGAGAAATCTGCTTCCAACATTTTCTCATCTGATTAGCCATCCATTGAACTCGTGCTAGTTTTATGTTAAATACTACCTTTTTACCTTATATCTAGTAAAGAGTCAAAATTCCTGCAAATTAAGCAACAAATGAGTGGTTGTGTGGTCTGCGCATGAGCTCAAGTGGGAAGAAGGGAAGAAATCCTTCTGTGCATTTGCCGACCTTGTTCAGCAAATACCCGTTATATTTTCAGTAATGTTTGAACTGGTTGCTTTATCTCATTGGGTTGAATCGTCATTATCTTTATGTTTCAACTGGTAAGAGGTAGTCTGTATGACTTTTCTTTTCTCTTGAAACTATTTCTTGTGATGAACAGAAATAGTTCAGCATGTCGTGGTTCCAGGACCGAGTCAAGCTTGAGTCGTCATCTGTACTGTAAAATGACTGCACTGGAGACGTTGCAACGCACAGGCTTTCTGCAGCGCAGCGTGGAAATGAACTTGAGCTGTGTCGGTGCTGGACTGTGGGGGCTTATCAGGCTCTTTGCATGACTCAGATATATTTTAATATCTAGTCCGTTTTTTTCATTGTGACATGATAATTGGCATTAGATGGATGGGAGTGGGGGGGAACCATGATGATGAAAAAAAAAGTTAAAAAGTGATACAGCTTTTTTTGTGATTTCCTTTTAGGTCTGATGTGGTGGTCCTCTGTTTTTCAATCGCCAATCCCAATTCCCTAAATCATGTGAAAACCATGTGGTATCAAGAAATCAAGCACTTTTGCCCCCGTACACCTGTTGTCCTAGTTGGCTGCCAACTAGATCTCCGCTACGCTGATCTTGAAGCTGTTAATCGAGCCCGACGCCCTTTAGCAAGGTAAGCCAAGGGACGCGGTGTTTCGCTGTGCTGGCCAAATTAAAATTTAGAGGTAGCAGATGTCTCTATGTCCTCGAGTTCTGTTCTGTAATGGTCCTGGGACCCCATCAACCAGCCCTATGCTTTCAGTCAGCTTATTCAGCATGAGGGGGTGTGTCCTGACCCTTCAGTGCTCACCATCACCTCTTAAGTAGCAACCCATTTCTCTAAATGGTTGACCGGTGCTTGAAGTGAATTCTGTAATTATATCATGGTGTGAGAAAAAAATGCTTTGAAATTTTTTACGTATTAAACAAAACGTTAGGCACTCATAATGGCATTGTTGGAAATATCGTTTTTATAATAAAGTTAAATAACAGAACGATTGGCACAATTTTTGGCCCCAGGAATCAGGTTCATACACATACACATATCCAAGGGTTTTAACCTCATTTTCCTCAGTCCAACCTCTGCAAGTATTTCATTCCCAAGATGACAGTGTCTGGATATAGAAATCATATGGAAGTATAGTTGCAAAACAACATGTTTCAAAATGTCTCTAGTGGTTATATTTTAATGTGTCACAAGTTTAAAAATCAACTCAAAGGAAGGTGTTTTTCACTCTGTTTAAAATGTGGATAGCAGTGACAATAAGACTTGAAACACCTATGCTCCTTCAAATAAATAATTTTATGTGTTTTATGTTTAACTACATTTTTTCTGGAGAGCGTATCATTTTCAAAATGCTGATATTAATACCTTCCTTCAGTGCTTGCTAATGTGCTTGTTACAAAATGTTATATGGATACAATTTTTTATGCTCTCCCAGCAAAAGCAAATGGTATTTTGTTTAGACAATTTCCAATGTTCTGGGTACATTTTGGATACATTTTCCCCAAACATTTCATGTTAAGTTTTCGCAATCCTTCTATTCTTAGATACGTGAACTAGCAATTGAATATTAGGAGCCACATAGAGGGAAACAGGACTTACAGTGAATAAGAGACCACCCCGGCCTCAGAACTTTCTACATAAAAGAATAGATTCAGATGTCCCGGCCTCACAGCCTTGGACATATGGAGGCTGGGGGAAGAGTTACAGAGCTCCAGGGGACAGTGGAGGGGACAGGCCCTTCCACAGAGCCGTTCTGAGACTGCATAAAGGAGGTGATGTTTAGGCTAACCCTTGGAAAGTGGAATCAGCTAGTGATCTACCAGTCTGTCCCAGAACAAGCACTAAATGCCCACAGGAGCAAACCTTGACATTCTGTTTTCTTCCCTATACTTGCCTTCCCCTTTCCCAACACATTGCAGTTTCGCTCTTTTCAATCCAGTTCTTCACATCAAAATTCTACCCAGTACTGTCTGATTTCCCCTCAGACTAGTGCCTGTCACACACCTCGCCTTTGGTTTTGAAAGCCAAATACTTATTTCAAAAGATCAGTTCCTAAGAGTATTTCTCAAAGTCAAGTATGCATTTGTGAAAAGGATAACGGATCACATCTTACCTGTGTTCTGGAATCCATCTGTGTCTTTGCTGTAGTTGTGTTATAATCACAGAGCTGTTCCCTTTCACTGCTTCCAAAGGTTTGGCCTCCTTGGGTTTGATTCGGCTGTAAGTTGGTCACACGTGCCAGCCCAAAGGATGTAGACTCTATTCCATGAGCTTTGTGGAAACAGAAGAAAAATTTTTTAAGAATTGTTGCATGGTTGGTGTGGCTCAGTGGATTGCGCACCATCCCACGGACTGAGCAGTCCTGGTTCGATTCTGGTCAGGGCATATGTCCGGGTTGTGGGCTCGATCCCCAGTAGAGAATACACAGGAAGCAGCCAATGGATGTTTCTCTTTCACATCGATGTTTTTATTTCTCTCTCCTTTCCTCTCTCTCTAAAATAATCAATATAATATATATATATTATTTTTTTAAAAGAATTGTGGCTAAGTCACACTTGCATTATGTAAGGACTTGTCATGCAGGAGTGAGAACTGTGGGTTAAAATGTGGAAAGTCTGAAGAAAGACCAGCTCAGAGACTAATGCATTTGTCTGAGCAAAAGTTGATGAGGTCCTGACTAAAGCGAGTGGAAGATGAGAGAAGGGGAAAGATATGAAGAAGATTCACATATCCAGTTACCAAAAACGTAATGACCGTTTAACTGGTCTACTACTAGGAGTTCTAGACTCTAATTGCTTAGTAGAGGTCTCTCAGCAACTTGCAAATGTGACCTTAGGCAAACCTTTCAACTCTCTGCCTCAGTTTCTTCAGGATGTAGAATGAAAATAACACCCATAGGGTTATGGTGAGATTCAAATGAGAAAATCAATATGGATTCATTTTAAAGTTATAAAGCAAAATTTAAGCATAAGGTGGTGATGATGATAATGAAGAGGATGATGGTGGTGATGATGGTAACAGCTAACATTTATCAAACATAGTGGACCAGGTACTATGCTAAGCATATTATGTCATTTAAACCTCTCGACAGTCTTTGAAGATATAGGTACTCATTATTATTAATCCCCCTTTACAGATGGAAAACCCAGGGCTTACAGAGATCAAGTAACTTTCCCAGGATCAAATCACTAGTAAATGGCTGTTACTTCAGTTACTGTGGTTACTACTGAAAGCATGTTCTTCCTTTAGTCATCTGTCCTTTATATTTGAAAGACTTGAGGTTGGTAATGGATGTTTCAAGAGCCTTATTAAAAGCCTGAGTAGGATTTTAAATGTATGCTTCAACTAGGTTCTTAGGTGGACCCCGGCTACTACTTTCTTTTTTTCCTAAAATAAAGTTGATAATAATTGTGTAAATATTCTATTTCAGGCCCATAAAGAGAGGGGATATTTTGCCCCCTGAAAAGGGCCGTGAGGTCGCGAAGGAACTCGGCATCCCATACTACGAGACGAGCGTTTTCGACCAGTTTGGGATCAAGGACGTGTTTGACAACGCGATCCGGGCAGCGCTGATCTCCCGCCGGCACCTGCAGTTCTGGAAATCCCACCTAAAGAAAGTTCAGAAACCTCTACTGCAGGCACCGTTTCTACCTCCAAAAGCCCCTCCACCGGTCATCAAAGTCCCAGAATGTCCCTCCACGGGGACGAACGAAGCTGCCTGTTTACTGGACAACCCCCTGTGTGCCGATGTCCTGTTCGTCCTTCAGGACCAGGAGCACATCTTTGCACACCGAATTTACCTCGCTACCTCCTCTTCCAAATTTTATGATCTTTTTTTAATGGAATGTGAAGAAACCCCAAATGGGAGTGAAGTTGCTTGTGAGAAGGAGAGGCAGAGCAGGGATACCCAGGGGCTGGCACTGAGCATTGACCCAGATGAGGAAAAGGAGGACGGTACCCCAAGGACGCCTCAGGCCGACCCGTGGGACCCCTCCAGCCAGGACCTGTTCCTACAGGAGACTCTGAAGCTGGAAGCTGAGGGCTCGATCCCGGAGACACAGGCCTTGGCGGGCTGGAGTAAGGGGTTTATCAGCATGCACAAGGAAATGCAAGTAAATCCCATCTCAAAACGGGTAGGCCCCGTGACTGTGGTCAGGATGGACGCATCGGTCCAGCCAGGCCCTTTCCGGACCCTGCTCCAGTTTCTTTATACAGGGCAACTGGATGAAAAGGAAAAGGATTTGGTGGGCCTGGCTCAGATCGCAGAGATCCTGGAGATGTTCGATTTGAGGATGATGGTAGAAAACATCATGAACAAGGAAGCCTTCATGAATCAGGAGATAACGAAAGCATTTCACGTCAGGAAGGCCAATCGGATCAAAGAGTGTCTCAGCAAGGGCACGTTCTCAGGTGAGCGGGTCCAACAGCCAAGACATGGACAGCTTTGATTGTGTTTAATCAGACATTAGCCAGTCATGAGCAGGGGAAAAGATAACTGTCTCCAACATGTATGAGTACTTAATTTTTTCCCATGTGCCTAAGTTGCACATAGTTACTTATTTAATTCTCATCAGACTTAAGGAATGAATATTATTATCTCTATCTTTCAGACGGGGAAATTGAGGGACAGAGAAGGTTAGGTAACTTGCCTGCGGTTACACAGGTAGCAAACAGTCGAGCCAGGACTTGAACCCAAGCTGTCCCCTAAGTGCCAAGGTATCACAGTACTACTGAGGATAGGTCAGGTTACCCCTGCCCCTGAGCCAGTCAGCTGGATGCTTGCAGTTCCCTTTCAGGATCCCTTCCTGAGCAAATCTGTTCTCCACTGACCCTTCAGCACTTACCCATGATGAAAATCAGAGACTTCTTGTCCTAAGGCCACTGAAACCCTAGAGGCAATCTTGGTGACCCTCCGCATTCCCGCGAGGGGTGCCTCATCTCTTTCCACCCCCTCTTCTCTTCTGTTCTCACACTCCTTTCTTGTTCCTCCTTTGTCTGTGACAGCAATGTGCACCTGCCCACAGCACCCCTACATAATTGCTTAAGCACCCTGGTGGCCTGCATCCAAGACAGGTCACATACCTGCACTTGTACTGTCTCACACACTCGTGCTATTTTTGTTCTGACAAATTGTCTTCTCTCTGTGTGTGTTTGTGTGTGTGTGTGTGTGTGTGTGTGTGATTATTAAATTTTGACTTCCCAACTTCTGTTTATATGTATACTTCATTTGTGTCTCTGCTTTCATAATGCCTGTGATGATAATATACATTTAGTAAGTGGTTACCGAGTCTGTTCATAAATGTTAAAGCTTATGAGTAATAAATAGTTACTCCAAATATTGACCACCATGGTATAGAAGCAGTCTTGAAAGTTAATGAAAGAAAAAAGTGTTCAAACCTGCAGCAGATTAAACAGTGGACCTGAGGTAAAGTTGACGCGATCACGCTGTCCTTGTGGCAGAAGTATAACAGCCAAATACAGTGAGGAAGCCTCAGTTGAGTCCTATTTAAGGGGAAAAAGCTATAAAATATAGTGTAGGGATAGTTGGACATTTTTATTTATTTATTTTACTTTTTTCTTTTTTCTTTTTTTCATCCTCACCCGAGGACATTTTTTCCATTTTTTGTTCAGTTAGAGTGGGAGGGAGAGAGAGGAAGAGAGAGAGAGAAAGAGAGAAACATCGATGTGAAAGGGACACATCAAATGGCTGCCACCCGCACGACCCAACCAGGGCTGGGGGGACAAAGTGCAACCGACGCACTTGCCCTTAGCAGGAACCAAACCCGGGTCTTTCTGGACCGCAGGCCGATGAGACGTACTTGCCCTTAGCAGGAACCAAACCCGGGTTTTTCTGGACCGCAGGCCGATGCTCTAACAGCTGAGCCAAAATGGCCAGAGCCTTTTTTTCTTTATTGATATGAGGGAGAGAGAGGTAGGGAGAGGGAGAGAGAGATGGAAACATCGATGAGAGAAAACATCGATTGGCCACCTCCTACATGCCCCCCACTGGGGATCGGGCCCACAACCTGGGCATGTGCCCTGACCAGGAATGGAACCGCTGACCTCTTGGTGCATGGGTTGATGCTCAACCACTGAGCCACACCAAGAGGGCTAATTGGAAATTTTTTAATATGAACTAGAAAGAGGATGATAGTAGGGAATTATTTTTAATTTTCTTAAGAATAATAACGGTATGGTTATCTAGAAGAATATTCTTATTTCTAGAAACTCTTGATGAAGAAGTTAGGAATGAAGTGTACTACTATCTATTAAAACTGTCTACACAGATATAAAAAAGTATACATACACCTATAGCTGAAGCAACATGGCAAACTATGAGCAATGGGACCAATGAATTGCTGTATTCTTCTTACCACTGTTGTAATTGCTTGAAATTGTTCGTGATGGGGAGGAAAAACACAGTCCTGTCTTTTATGTGTCTTTATGGTTCAGAGAATTTGTGTTGTGCCCGTGTGTAAATGCTTACTTCTCAATCCTTGGGGAGCGTGGAGGGAATGGGGGTGCCACGGGCGGGGTCAACACAAAACCATGTGGTACAGCGATGGGGGAGAGGACAAGAGGTGTAGGTGGATGAATACGGTGCAGCTCTCAGCGAGGCTGGCTCACGGTGCTGTTTCCTTGGGCAGATGTGACCTTTAAGTTGGATGATGGAGTCATCAGTGCCCATAAACCACTGCTGATCTGTAGCTGCCAGTGGATGGCTGCCATGTTCGGGGGGTCGTTTGTGGAAAGCGCCAACAGTGAGGTACGTGCCTTCCAAAAAGCCTAAGTGTGTCTTCATGAACGTGCTGTGTATAAAGTGTTTTACTAGCCAGACGACTTCGGTTCTCGAACTACTTCCATGAAACAGTTCCTTGGGCAGTGTTTGAATGTCAGGTCACCCCTCTGCTTTTTTTTTTTTAATTGATTTGAGAGAGAGAAACATTGATTTGTTGTTCCACTTATTTGTGCACTCATTGGCTAATTCTTGCATGTGCCCTGACTAGGGATCAAAAGGTCACCCCTCTTCTTAATTCTGCCGTTTCGAGGAGCCATTGTTTATTGTGCACTTGCTACGTGCGAGCACCTAATCCTTTAAGTGCATAGCCTTTCAGCCCACAGCTCTCCTCTTCCCTGAAAACACGATCAGCTGTGCTTTGTAACAGATGCCTGCAGGCAGGATACTTGCAAAAGCATATCCAGAGGGGCAGCGCTTATAAATGTTTCTTCAGTGATTTATGTCCTAATCTCAGCTCTGGTACTAACCAGATTAGGGACCTCAAGAAGCCACCTCTTTGTGTCTCAGTCTCCTCATCTGCAAGATGAAGGATGCACTGGATTGCCCCTGAGGTCCCCTTGCGCTGTGACACTCCCTGAGGCTCTGCTCTGACTTACCTTCTCTGAGGGTTTCTCAGCAAGAGGGCACTAGTAACAAAGCAAATGGCTACTCCTCTGAACACATCTCTCAAAGTGCTCAGGTCTAGTGGAAGCCCCTGGGTTACTTGTCAGGTGCTAGACTTATCTCCAAGAGAGGGATATTCTTAGAGCTGAGCAAGCTGTATTTTGGAGACCCTATATCTTAATCTTTTTATACACTCTGTTGGAAAAGAGAAAAGTTTCATTCACACCCTTCTAACATTAGAGGTGAGCAAGCATTTTTGTTGAGTTTTGCAAGTATTTTTGATTATCTTTTAAAAGAAACATGGGGACACCCCATCAAGTGTATTGTCCTAAGAGGCCTGTTTTGCTTATCTCAGCACTTCTCAAACTTTAAAACAGAAAACAATGGCTGACTTTTCTAAAGAGATGCTCACACCAGAAATCTGAGCACTCCCATTGTGACCCGGGAGCCTGCATTTGCATCCCCAAGTAGAGAAACAGAATCCTAGAATCACAAGCCGGGATGGCCAGGCCTGCGGAGGTCACTGGGCCACCCTCCTGCTTCCAGAACAAACTGCAGCTGCACTAAACCGACTCCCAGCAAAAGGCTGTCCGCTGTTCGGAGAAAAGACGTCGGAACTATCCTGATGACCTCCCCTGGTGTCTATCAGCCATTATAAACCAGGAGCTCCTCACTTGTCACTAAATGAAAGCCGTCCTGTGCTGTCAGAGGTGTTGCGGGGAGTTATTACTGAGAAGACTCCAGCTCGTGGAGGCCACTCAGTGAAGGTGCCAAGGCTCACATCTCAGCTCCTCTCGGTACGAGCTGTGTGACCTTGAGCAATTAATGTCCTTTCTGAGCTCCAGTCTCCCTGTCTTGAAATCACCATAATAACCCACAGTGTGGTTGTGAGGTGTAAGAATGAATACTTGCAAGTAAGGGTAGCTCTCGTTAGTCTTATTTTGATGTCAGGAGTGTCGATGGTATTCTTTGCCTCTTACTTCCCCCAAAAAAATGTGAGGAAGCCACTGATGAATGCAACTCCATCCAAATGGCATTTCACTGACTTCCATAATCTCTGGAGATAAGGAGCCCGAGGATCGCTTCCCTTATTTTTCCAGCTCTCTGTAATGGGCGCTGATGGTGCTGTGGATGGCCTGCGATTAACCAGGCAGAGGGAAGGTGACCAAGGTCAGAAACCCGGGCACAGAGGGACACTGTTGGAGCTGATCTCACAAATGCTAATCCCCTTTATCCCTTCCCAGAATGGACTGTAATTGTCTCCAGATTAAAATGTGCAGGAGAGGCGACCAAGACAAAAACTTGGCAGTGACTGTGAAAGTGCACGTAGGTGGCTGTTTAGTAGCCTCTCCTGGAGGTGGCCACCTGTTGAGCACTCCCCCCAGAAAGAGGAGGTCGCTCCCCACTCAGAGCTGTAGCTAAGGCTAATAATAGGTATGTGTGGATTCAACCCAGCTCAAAAGACTAAGACCCCGGAATCAAGCAAGCGAAGGTCTGTGCCGACTCCTCTAGCCGGTGCATGAAGAATGCCATGAGCGGCTGGCATTCCGCCCTTTCCTGCTCCTTGTCTTTATTTCCAGTGTAGACTACAGTAGTTATCTAGTGCCAGTCTCAGCTTGACCTTGGGCCAGTGACCTGCCCTTTCTAATCCTGTATCCTCATCTATAAAATGGGGATAACAGGTAACGAGAGAACCTCCTTCGAAGAGCAAGAAGGCGTGAGAGGACACATGTAAAGCTTCGAATTTGGTGCCTAGAACAGAAATGCCCGAGAATGGTTAGTGACTATTAGCCTCTCAACCTGTGGGTTGCGACCCCTTTGGGAGTCAAACGACCCTTTCACAGAGGTCACCTAAGACCATTGGACAACACATATTTCCGATGGTCTTAGGAACCGAGACACCGCTCCTCTATTTGTTTCCAGGCGGGTCTGCCCACATGCAGATACACCCACATACAGCATGAGGAACTGTATTAAAGGGTCACAGCATTAAGAAGGACCTAGAGGATTCTTGCTAAATGCTTTCCAATGACGAGTTAAAGCCCCTAGTTCTGTTGCTGGTAGAGGTGGTTATGGGGGTAGGAAAGGGTACTCAAGCACCCAATAAATGCTCCAAGGTTGATTTGGGTCCATATTTGCAACCCAGATTTGTCTTTTCTTCTTTTTTTAATTTTAATCCTCACCCAAGGATATTTTTCTATTTTTCTATTTATCTTCAGATAGAGTGGGAGGGAGGGAGGGAGAGAGAAAGAAACATCAACGTGAAAGGAACACATCGACTGATTGCCTCCCACACAACCCTGACCAGGGTTGGGAACGAACCGCAACAGAGGTACATGCCCTTGACCGGAATCTAACCCGTGACTCATTGGTCCATGGGCCAATGCTCTAACCACTGAGCAACACAGGCCAGGGCAGGACTTGTCTTTTCTAGGCCACCTTTTAACTCTATTTTGTCTTATGAAAATCTGACTTCCCCTACAAAATTCAGCCTAGTTTCTTTGCATTAATAGAATTCACATGAATATTCAGAAAAGAATAAAATATGCCCATTGATGTTACTTTAACTTTTTTTGTCATTTAATATTTAAGGAGACACTATTTTACTTATATTTTTCTCATTACTTTTAATACAGCAGTAAGCATAATTCTCTCCCCAGAGGTACTCAGCAAGTGGCTCATTAAAAATGCATGCCTGGGTTGTAGTAAGCAGTGCTCTGGGTCCACAATACCTTCTCATTCTCTGGGAGGCTGTCTCTAATTATAAGCCTAACAGTCTGAGCTGATTTTTGCAATTAAAATTTTAAACCAACTAAACTGGAATATGTAACATTGTTTAGGGTAGCATTATATTCTCTTTTATTACTCTCTCTTTTTTTTTTTAAGCTACATCAAGCAGGTACAATACAAAATCCTTAATTCCATTTCTTATGTAGTTTTATTTATATATTTTTTAAAGTTCTATAAAAGGGTCCCTCCATAGTTACAAAGTTCATTATAAATGTCGAAATCACAGAAACAGGCTTTAAAAAACAATGAATCACGAGAAAGAGAGAAAAATGTGTACTTTTTTATTCTTATTTGCTGATTACTTCCAAAAGTCCCTAACATTATTTGCCAAAAGGACCATTATTTCAAAAAAATATTATCATCCTTTAGCAAGAAGGAAGCAACAGGTCAGAAATGTCAGAACACTCCAAAGACAAAGAGTATTGGGCTGCTTGCTGCAATTTGTAGTCTCCTGCTTCCAGAAATAATTTTTTTTTTAAATTTAGAATGCTCATTCTGCCATTACTTAGAACACACTCTGATCAAAAAAAAAAAAGTTCAAGTAATCCGAATGTCATCAAAATCCACGATCTCAGTGAATAAGACAGAACCTCAGATACCAATTCCAAATTTGTCCCATGTAACAAATGAGGCCACTGAGAGTCATAAAGGGCGAATGGTTTGTCAAATGTCACACGGTGCTGTAGTGACATCCTGGGCCTGCCCAGCCTCATGCCCTGTCCTTCAAGCCCTTATTTTTAGAAACAGCAGACGTCCTCCTCCCTGAGAGCAGGGGTCCATAGGAAGCCCTGGGACTCTTCATATTTATAATCACTAACACTTTAGAGCACTGAGCACTTTATAAAATGTACACTATACTTTCACAATCAAAATGGCTCCAGTCTTAAAGTTTTACAACTTAGCTAGCCTTTTGTTATCTAGAAAATTGTACTCACACAACCACTTTAGAGAAATAAAATGTTGCCATGTGCTCACACATACAGAAACAAGTGGGTGTCTATAAATAAATTCGTGTCCGTATAAGACAAATACATGTGTACATAAACATTTCTACATAACCACGCACTCAAGTACAACCAATGTTAGAGTCACTGGAATAGCACTTTTTACGGTACAACGGCTTCTTTATTTTAAAATAATATTAGTAATCGTTTCTACTTGCCAAGTTCTATCTATGGCAGAGGTTGTGCCCGAAACTTGAAATGGTCACAGTTGTTAAATCACGCATGGCAATAACCCACGCACTTTATTTATGGAATCAAAATTGTTTCCATTGACTGTATCTGAAGGAGGGGAGATAATTTTCTAAATATGTCTAGGAATTTTTCTGAGCCTTTCCTTTGATACAGTAGGGAAAGTTCTGTCTGGAAGGATATTCCCTGTCTGAGGTGGCTGGTGGCTGGTGGCTGTGCAGGAGAATAATACGGAAGGTTCCTGTAGCTTAAACAGTTCTGGGAACCACACCACTAGATTGCATTGGACACGAGCCATATATATCTGCACACACACACACACACACACACACACACATACACAGATATACATATAGAGAGAGAGAGAGCAAAATAAGGTTATATAATATAGATGTAATTATATATCATTATAGATGTGTATCCTTATATGCTGTAGAGGTTTATTAAGTACCAGAATGAAGAAGTTTATAACTGCTCATCCTTTTGAACTCAGAAGTCTAATTCTTAAAAGCTGCTAATGAAAGATGTTGTACTGTAGCCCAAACCTTTGCATCCTGGCCACGGGGGTTTCTAATACTGCACAGCAGTTCTGAACATAGACTTTAGAATTTTACTCCCTGGGTTCAGATCCCAGTCACCACCTACTAGCTCTGTGACCTTGGATATGGAACTTAACCTCCCTAAACCTCAATTTCCTTCTCTATAAAGTGGCAAAAACAAGCATCTCTTCCCCAGAGGATCAAATTAGATAATGCATGTGGAAAGCTTAGCACTGTATCTTGTGCACAGGAGGCCTTCAATTAAGGTTAATTTTTATAATCATCATCATTTCAAAAGTAAACACCAGGGCCCATTTCCTGCGGTTAGAGCCCGGCAGTGAAGAGGAGCTGCCATGCCGTGTACGTCGCCACTGACCCACGCGCAGCCACCCAGAGCTCCTTGGCTCTCTAGCAAACTCCAGTGTGCATTCGTATGGGCAACAACCACAGGTACTCAGGAGGGAGATCAGGGGAATCCTGCAGGGGAGCGTTCACCATACCAACCAGTGGCTCCCTCCCCCAGAAGTCCCAGCTGAGGATTTGTCTGGATGCTCTCAATCTACCGATACCTGGTCACGTTCCAGTAGTTCTGAATCTATGTGGTTCTGCCATAGGAAAAATAATTAAGTGTGTCTATTGTATTAGCATATATCGAGAGAATGTTGGAATCAAGCCAGCCACCGTGGCAACTCGGGTGGTTGCATGTCCTCTGTTTTGACATCTTACAGAGCTGGGCTCTACCGTGTGTCAGCAACAGTGTGCTGGGCAGCTCCCCCCAACGCCTGTCATGTTGCTAGGAGATTTCTTTCCCCACAATAGAGTATTATAAGGTACTTGGCATGGAGGGCCCATAATGTCATCATACATTTACAGCCCATTTGTCTGATTTATAAGTCCAAATAGCCATTTAAAAATTCCAAATCAGGATTTGTCAGGCAGCCTCACTCTTTTGTCATCTACAAATCAAACTGTTATGTTTAAAGCCATAAATAGTGAATGACTTTGATGCACAGCCTCAAAGCAGGTGCTCCAGACTCGCCAATATAGAATCACACAGTTGCGATATTTACAGGCAGTAGAGCCTGGAAATGCGCCTGCTGCTTTCTTCATCAGAACTTAGCTTTTCTAATAACATTTCAGGTGTATCTCCCGAACATAAACAAGATGTCAATGCAGGCGGTACTGGATTATCTCTACACCAAGCAGTTGTCACCTAACTTGGACCTGGACCCACTGGAATTGATCGCCTTGGCAAACAGATTCTGCCTGCCACACTTGGTTGCACTTGCAGGTAAGGCTGATGACTCGGGGCCATGTGGTGTCTGACTGTCATATTTATCAAAATCACATTTAAACAAAAATAAGATTTCCAGGGAATAAAAATCAATTTTTCTTATCACACAGTATAGGACAGTCTTGTCTGGGATGATATGAACTGATCCAATGTATATCAGACAGCCAAATTCAATTCAACAAATATTTTCATAAGCACCTCCTTTGTGGTGGGCCCTGTTACATGATGCAAATAGAAAAAGACGGGCAATACACGGCCCATGTTCTATGCACTCTGCCTCATTTGTGGACCATGGAATTTGAAATAACACTATTATGTCCATGTTATCTTCATAGTGTGTGCTCAGACACAGGCTTTAAGCAAGGGGCAATAGGAGGCAGTAGTCAAGAACATAGACTACTCAGCCAGATTGCTTGGGTTCAGATGTTGACTCCAGCATTTACTGACTTCATCCTTGACTTAACTGCTCTGTCTCAGCTCTCACTCTCTTCAAATTGGGGACAATAGCATTCTACCATAGAGCTGTTGTGACGATTAAAGAGTTAAGATATATATTTATATATATATAGAGAGAGAGAGTCCTTAGAACAGTGTCTGGTCCTAGCCAGCATTATGTAAGTGGTTTTCTCAAAGCTATTTTAGAAAATGTTCTGACATTGTCAAGATCATTTTGGGATAAATTTAAGAAAGGGAGACTTGGATTAACTTCACAAAATCTTACGTGTGGTCTGTAGATTTGTTCAGTTGGTAAGCTGAAGCGGGTCTCAATAGGATGTATGCATTCAGACACCTTTTGCTTCACTTTAAACCTTCAGCTGTATTCACTCACCAGTGTTAGTTAGCACTGGGTGTTTATCACTGCCTTTCCTTGACTCCTGTTGACCCTGAAAGCAGAGATGGCGCCTGTTTTGTTTACTGGCTTATCTTCTGCATGTAGAAAAATGCCTGAGGATACTAGGTTCGCAGTAAATACTTGTTGAATCATTAAATGAATGAAAATGAATGTAGGAGCAAACCAACCATTCAAGTCTGTGCTTGATTTCCCAGCATTGTCTTCAGGAAAAAGATTTCTCTTTACTCCACATTTCTACTACACACAACCAACAAGAGGTCAGAGTTTGCCCTCACCTTCCTTCTTTCTCAGTTAGAGAGGAAGAGATAGTAGAAGCATTGCTCTCTGACTTTTTAAGAACTGTTTTTAACCAGTACACCTGAAGTCATAGTTCTAAATGAGTATATATACTGGTTTTGAAATGGTAATTCTAGAAAGTTGTGATAGGTGATTTCCTTTTTCAGAAGTATGGGTTCCAAACCATTTGACTGTTCACAGTTTTTACAAGTATTTGTCCTTTGAGGATACATTTAATTTTTTTTTTTCCGTGAAATAGTTAAAAGCAATTTGGAGCCAAATCCGTTGAACAAGGTTTGTGATCAATCTCAAAGTGGTGCCATTTTTGCTTAAATATAGGACTAATTTCTCCATTTAAAAAAAAAAAAATGACCCAAAGAAACCGTCTCCTGTAAACTATAGACTTCTCTGAATGTTTACTTTTGTTATTAAATGCTATTATTACTGTTATAATTATTTAATACATCGCTTCCTAAGATGATTCCTCTAATTATTTACACTGTTTGGTGTGTACTGTTTAGTATAAGTACAGAGTGTTTAGAATAATGTTTTAAAAATTAGTTTTTGGGGTGAAAATGCTTTGCAAACCAGACTTGAATGAATATCAAGAAATGTTGCAGTTTCCTTACATTAAAAAGCCAGATTACTTCTCTGGGAAATTTAGTTCCAAATAGCTCTTATCTGTAAGCTAGCTGAGGAAGGGTAAGCCAAAGAAACCACTGAAATCTAGATAATTTATTGACTGGATAGAGGCATATTGGCTAACAAGTACGTAGAGCCAGAGCACAAAATAAGCATGATTCAGCAAATATACTGGATTAGAAGAACAGGTGCAATGACAGAGATGAAAGAATGCAGCAACATCAAGGAGCCAGAAATGCGGGGCCTCAACCACCTACTCCTGTCGGTCCCAGAGGCAGGTGACAGACAGCCATAACGGAGGCAGGACAGCTCAGGCTCAGAACCACAATTTCAATTCTGCTTAGAAGCCTTGGCCACGGCTCCCGAGCAGGAACAGCTCTCCCAACTGGATGTGTGTTACTTCTGGCTGACACTCTGCGCAGTCGGTAGAATCTGAGGGGGGGCACAATGTGTGGCCCATCTGCAGCTGCTGGGACAGAGTATGCACGGTTCATTCCCCATAGGGACTCGTTCCTATGACTCAGTCTCTCCACTGGCAGGAAGCGTTGCGATTTGGAGGGAGGTGAGTGGGGAAACTGTGCAACAGGAAGATACTGGAGAGTCTAGACAGGATTCTAGGAAGGTGCTGGGCTGTCTAGAGTGGCATCATCCAATAGAATTTTCTGCAGTATTTCCTGTCCAATACTCATGTGGCAATTGAGCACTTAAAACTAGCCGGTTGTGACTAAGGACCTGAATTTTTTTTTTTTATTTAAGTTGAAATTAATTGAAATTTAAATGGTCTTGTAGCTGGTAGTTACCATACTGGACAGTGAAGGTTTGGAGGACTCTGGCTATTTCAGAAGTGCTCACATGTGTCGCCAGAGCCATCATTTGTCTGGAGACCAAAACCCATGCACGAAAAGGCCACACATGAAAAGGGGCCTTAGGTTCATTTACGGTAGCTACCAGAGCTGGGTTCCATACTTCCTCCCCTCTTGGGTGGCCCAAGACCAGAGCCGACCCTTCAGGCAAGATACCTGACTTGCAGAGGACGGTCTCACTGTCTCCTCTCCCCTCTCTTCCCCAGAGCAGCACGCCGTCCAGGAGCTGACCAAGGCCGCTATGAGCGGCGTGGGCATCGATGGAGAAGTGCTCTCTTATCTGGAGTTGGCCCAGGTTTGTAACAATTTGCTGTTCACCTTTTAAGTGTGTTCGACCAGTTCATTAATGCTGATGAAACATTCCACTGTTGCATCTGTCTAAATAAAGATGTCACCACCAAGTCCCAGAGGCCCCTGTGTACACTGAGGAGATCTGAGAGTTTTACATTTCATGCATCATTCACCCTGCTGGGCTTCCTTTGAAAAAACAACGGGGAGACCTCACCCCTACACCAGCCCCATCGTCCCCCAAGGCACCAGCCTCCCTTGTGGGAGATGCTAGGGGAAGGTTTTGCCTCTTTTTTTTAAAGTGTTAGCCAGGATCGGTTTCTGGGATTATGTGAAGTCCTCTTAGGCCCCACGTCTCACTGCGGTTCTCCAGGGTTTTCTAAAATCAGTATTTGTCAATATTGCTATTGCGATTCTGTGATCTCAATACACACTTGCAATCCTCTTCCTGGGAGGGCCCCAGATCCAGCTTCTGCTTTGTCACTGAATAACTTAATCAGGCACAGAGCCGAATGCTGCCTCCGTTTCTTCAACTGTAAGAAATGAGGATGCTAACTCACCCTGTTAACCTTGCAGATTCTTTTCAGAATCAGCTGGGAGAGGAGCTTCAAGAAAGAGCTGAGGAGGGGAAGCCCTCTCGTTATTCAAGGCACATAGGCAGGATTCTCTAGTCCCTGGCAGACTTACCGACAATGACTTTACCCTCTGAAGGAACTAAGAATAAACGTGTCAGTCTTTTCCTCAGCCTGTTGGGTTTGGCTTTCTCGGTTCCCTCTCTCAGTCGGGGCCGCGGTTTACAGGGCAGGCCACTGAAGCGTGTACTTCTCAATCAAGGGAGAGGAGGGCGGCACGGAGCAGGTGTTCCCTGGGCCAGTCCAACCGTGGCCATGGGAGAGGGTTCAGATTCAATGGGGGGAAGGTGGAACAGAACATTACAGCAGCCTGGTCCATCGGACACAACACCCATCCAGTATCTGTTCTTTACTCCCATGTACCAGCCATCACCCTTGACAAGAGGATGCGTAGATTCAAACGGTAGATCCTCTGCCCTGGCGGCAGTTCTAGGCAAGCGAGGGAAATAGACACAAGCTCCCACTGGTAAAGCCAGTGTGAAAAACAACCTAATAGGGCTTACAATAAACCTGAGAACCGAAACCAGTTGCAGTAGGATCAGCAAACCCCGCGGGCTGTCCAGACTTGGAATCTGGAACCTTTTGAAACACGACAGTTTGTGACGTGTGCTCTGTCCAATAAGCACTCCTCCTCGAGAAGGTGAAATGATAGAATTTCACATAGGGCTAGTCCTCTTAAGGAATGATAGATAGTTGTATCTGTTTGTCTGCTTTGTGTTCCTGCCCTGTCCCCTCCCCCACCCTGACGTACTCCCTGCAAGGAAATAATGTGATTAATGCTAAGCTCTGACAAGCTTTGGGAGGAAGAATTTAGGATGGACTTTCCCAAATCTTTGCTCATTCATGAGACCCTAACCTAGTGGTGTGCTGGTAAGTATTTAACAACCCACTTGGGGACAGGTGGGTAGGACCCGGATCTGATACATTTTCTAATCCCCATGGCGGAAGTTTCCCATCTGGCCGATTTTAACATGAAGTCACTGAACTCAGAGTAGGCAAGAAATAGCCACGCGTGACTCCTGAGCGGGTCCAAGCCGATCCCAGTACACCACTATCTTAATCCTACTTCCAGAAAGAAATAATACCAGGAGAAGTGGGGTAAACGTGTCTGTGATGTTGGGGTTGTGATTTTCAGAGAGTTTTTTGCCTTCGTTTTTGAGGACTGCGGCTCTCCTCTTGGCCTTCGTTCAGCGCCCTGTGGGCCCCGAAGCAGCCAGGCTGTAGGTTGCAGGGTCTTGTCTAATCCAAGAAACTTCGAGAGCAACAAACAGAAGGGATGTCTGGGAAGGGGTATAGAAAAAAGAGTGAGGGATGGGAGGAGTCTGCCAAATTTGGGCAAGGAACAGGGAGTTGCCTGTTGACTTTTGAGCATCAGGTCTTTTTCAGTCACTGCTACTTCTGTGCCACCTCCCTGAGCACCTGCTTGCAAAGGAGGGGTGGAGTGTTCTGACCTCTCCCACCATGCCCACACCGCCTGCTCTTCTTATGTAACCAGAGGACAGGTATAGGACAGTCACACGTTCTGAAGTCTCCTCTTTCAGATCCTTGGCCCCAGCAAGCCGAGCTCTGACATGTGACACGGAGTATTGCGTTGCCCAGGCTTCCTTAAACAGAGATGACATCGCGGTTTTCTGCTGTTGGCAGAAGCCACAGTCACTTATCACACTAGCGGGCCAGGTGGTGGGGAAGGGTGGGAGGGCAAAGCTTACTTTAAACTCCTGATCTGATACGGTGATTATTTTTGATGCACCTCTTCCAGGGAAGAAGGCAGGGGTGTGCCAGATGCTATACTCGGCAGGAATAAACCAGTCCAAGGCAAGACAGGTCTTGACTGAATTAGTACATGGGCCTTTATTTCTCACATCCCTACAGTGGCTCCCTATTTGTTTGTAGCCCCACTTTAGGAAAAAAAGAGTCTGATCCACTTTTGGTCACTTCCCTGCAGTTTCACAATGCCCACCAGCTGGCCGCCTGGTGTCTACACCACATCTGCACCAACTACAACAGTGTTTGCTCCAAGTTCCGCAAGGAGATCAAATCAAAATCTGCAGGTGAGACTTCAGGGTCCCCATCCATCCAATACTCATCACCTCCGGCTGAATCGATGCCCTCCTTGCCCTTGAGAAGGAACATGAGCCACAGGCAGCTCTGGGAGGAATCCTGGTGACTGGCTGGCGGTCACATGCCCATGTGACATGACACAGGGATTGTAGGTTGGGAATTCTCTTTGGAGGATTTTGTGTTTGGGGGGAGGCCCGCTTAGGAGCAAGCTTGCACTCTGAATCCAGTAGTCCTAGGTTCCAGTTCTCTGTGCCCAGCTACATGAGTTTAGGGCAAGTGACTCTACCGCTCAAACTTAGCGTCACAATCTGCAAATGGTCCCAATATGATCCCAGTGCATTGGGTTGTGGATGGTCATAGAGGTGAAGCATTAAACAGAGAGCAGTCGATGAACGAACAGCAGGTATGATCATCCACCCCTTTCCTTCTGCAGACAACCAGGAGTACTTTGAGCGCCACCGCTGGCCCCCGGTGTGGTACCTGAAGGAAGAAGACCACTACCAGCGCGTGAAAAGGGAGCGCGAGAAGGAAGATATTGCACTAAATAAACATCACTCGAGACGAAAGTGGTGCTTCTGGAATTCTTCTCCAGCAGTTGCCTGAGGAGGAAGAGGGGGAAAAGTCAGTAATCCAACACGCCCTTTTTACAAGCACGACTGTCCGATTAGTCTTCTTCTTAGCGATAAGGTGTAGTTCGGGTTTCAGGCACTGACCGTCCTCCACGTTTGTGCGTTCATCTGGCTGGGGTCAAAGCACAAGCTCACCGTCAATGAGCCTGGACAAAAAGGGAAGCTGACGATGCTCACTGCATTCCTTACACTTCCATGCATACTTTTCTGTTAGAAGGCTTAATAAACTTTAGTTCGGGGTTTTTTTTGTTTCTTTTTATACAAAGGGAAAAAAGAAAAAAAACAACCCAGCTTTCATGTTTCAAATTCCAAATTGGAAAATATTTTTATATGGTCTCTTGTATTTTGTTGAAGTGAAAATACTATCTCTTACTTTATTTTACAGGCTACAAATTAACCATGAAGTCGCCCTGTGATCCTCCGTGCCCACATGATCACAGAGCGTTATTACGTAATTAGAGGGTTAGCCTTCTGTTGTGAAGTAAAGGGTTGGAATGAAATTTCCCAAAGTGCAAGTTAGAGAGTGTTTAATCTTTGTTCTGCCGAATCACACTGGTATAATTACCAAGTCAACTCCAAGAATGTGTATTTACAATATGTGCCGTGTAAGTGCTGGTAATTATATGGTTATATGTGCCATGTAAAATATAGTGATATCAAATCTTCCGTTGTTTAAAATGTCTCGATTCAAGGGGATAATCTTTCTAATCATGAGAAGGGCTTATTAAATCCCAGCATTATTCAGGGCAAACTCACCGGTGGACCTGGATACAAGATACCGTAAGAGTGTTGGTGTTTGGATTGCTGTATTAGGGTTTGTGTCTCTCAGTATTCCTTAATCTTGCCATGCTTCTGCATGCGGATTCTCTACTGACTTGAATCAAGTTGGGCAAGGGTCCCTGGACTCTGTCCCACAGTCTGCAGGCTTGTCACATCTCACCACCAGAAAAAGCTTCCTCAGGTCTCTTCACCTGCGGCCAACTTCCTTTGTAAGACACATTTTTTAAACTCTTCCCAGGGAAAATCCATGTTGTTGCAGAAATAGGCGAAGGCAGACCCCTCCACCCCTGCTGAAATTCAGGAGGGCCTATGAAGGCACATAGCTGGAGGCTGGGTCGTCTGGGGTCCTCGTATTCTCCAACCACAGACAGGAATCTTATTCCAAGAGTCTAGGAAATGGTGCTATTGTGAGTTCGTTCTGACCCTTGTCATTCTGCGTTTTCAGTGTTAAAATAGAAAGTTCTGAGCAGGGGAGCTTTCAAGAGGCAGTCAATCATGGCTTCTCTGTAAATTAAAATGTTACACCATTCAAACAGAGAGCATGTTAAGGTCACAGCTCCATACCTACCGTGGGGTGCTGTGTGGTGGGAGCTTGGGCTTATTCTGTTGGCAGGTCAATTTACGGATGCTAAAGGTTGTGGGTTTGTTTTTGTTGTGTTTGTTCCTAGCTTTCAGAACTCGGAAAAGAGACAGTTGAACCCAAACCCCATTGTTGACAGTCATATGCATGTGAAAATCTATCCAGATTGTAGATGGGCATTTATTACTGACAGTGGAAACACACCAGATTCAAAAGCTGGGAAAGGCCCAGAAATGCATCCCGCTCTCATGACAAGGGAGGGGCGGTAGAGTACGGATGGATGGTTGTAAATGCATCTGCTTTAATTTTTCATCAGTAGAGTTGTAAATCATTAAGGGAAGGAGACGGGAGATAGAACGAGAGGATACATGTCAGGACTCGGGAAGAATTGCATAATCCTGTCACTAAATGGTACAGGCTGAGTTTTCAACATGCAGTCAGAGTTGAAGTTATACAACCAAAGCTCCCATTTGATTGTAATCTTGCCAAAAACATAATGGACATATAAATGAACCTGGGGTATAAGCAATAATATCCACTAGTGCTTGTTATCAGCTACTCGAACCAAGTGGCTGGTTCATTTGGTTGATGCTGACTATGGCCTTTAACCATGGTGGTTTGTTTTGTGTTTTTTATTTCACAAAAAAAGCCAATAAAATTGTTTAGCTATAAAATGCCTCCCGTTTGTTTTTTTTATTTTTAAGGACTACCATGATCAGGAATGTAATGTTAATAGCTTTTTTAAAAACATGAATGGTACTGGATCATAGATAGGGGTTGTGAGAGCTACGGTGACAACCTTGACCAACTCTTGTCTTTGTTTTAGGTACTGCCAACCACGATTTCCGTGAGGGGCCTGGTTCTTTGCTCTTGGCTAATGCAGTTATGCCCCTAGACATGGTACAGCACTGGGGGAAAAAAACAAATGATGTCTCTACTCTGATGGACATCTTCTTATAACCTGGATTTGGGCAATTTGCCAGCAATTAAGTGAAAGGTGGCATTGCTGGGCTTATGAAAAGCAGTCTTTTCAGAAGCACCTGTGAGAAAGACTTCAGGAAAATGTGTAAATTTCTAGACTTCTAGGTGGTGTAATGTTTCCCCAAGCTCAGAGGGAAGAAGAGTCTCCCATGAGATATCATAGGGGCACTCTGCTGAGGGGCAAGTTTTCTAAAACTCCGTGGAAAGGAGTTGACAAGTAAAAAAAAAAAAAAAAAAAAAAAGACAGCTGCAGAAAAGGCGGTGGGATTCTTAACACATCCCCATACCTTTTGAAGGTAAGTAGTCCAGATCACGGCACCTTATACATACTGCATCCCAGTGGTGTCTTACCTATAGAAAGTCTTCGTCTGAGCTTCTCCTAGAGCTATGCCTGGCAAATCACCAAGAATTTCAACAACCCTATATTGGCACCGTAGGAACTACAAGTCCCACTGGTTCAGAGATAATTATGCACATTCAAGAGCAAGAATCCAATGTTTCTAAAATTTCTTTTTTACATTTGCTTCCAGTGTATGGTATATCAGTTGTCAAAATTCAGTTTTTCATCATGGTGACATTAACTAAGTAGAATGCACTCTATTAATCAGAGGGAAAAGCAAAGTGAATCCCAAGTTTGGAAATTTTTGATGAGTTCAACATTTCTGAAATTAATGCTTTTCTGCAAGCTGAGGATTGACCAGATTTTTCTTGAATTGGGTTGGTAGCAATAATTCCTTTTTTTTTTTTTTCCTAGAAGAATGTGACTATTGTATAAAAGATGTAAAGTTAGAAGTTAGCCAGGGAGAATGTATTTGTTGTGTGTGCATGTGTGTGTGATTAAGTAATATAGAAACAGTATAATGGGAGTGGGGGGAAGCTAAGAGCAATTTAAAAAGAAAAAGGAAGAAGGGTCACAGACAGAAACCATGGAAGTAGAATTAAGCACTGTGGGCCACAGATGGACTTTCTTTCTCTTAAAATGCTAATTATGAGATTACTCTATATTTCATGACTTAATTTATTTTCAGATGAAGACTTTGTTCTCTTGAATTTCCAATTAGGCAGGTGATATATGCAACATGAAAAGGCCCTTGTGTGGCAACCTGTGACCTCCTGTCAAAGCAGTGCTTCAGCAGGTACGCCGTTCCCTTTGGCGGCATTTGACATTCCACCCTAGCTGGTAGGACCTCACACAGGGTATTTTTACTTAAGCCATTTAATACATGGTTTTTCACTGGGTTCATGGACAGGTGCCTCTTTGGTTTCAAATTTACAGACTATAGTCTACAAAATAGGGAAATCAGCCCAGCCGGTGTGGCTCAGTGGTACTGAGCCATGCACTAAGAAGTCACCAGCTCAATTTCCAGCCAGGGCAAATGCCCAGGTTGTGGGCCCGATCCCCAGTGGGGAGCATGCAGGAGGTAGTCACTTGATGTTCTCTCGCATTGATGTTTCTATCTCTCTCTCCCTCTCACTTTCTCTCTCTCTAAAAAATCAATAAAAGAAAAAAATTAAAAAAATAGGGAAATCAGTTAGGAGCAGATAACTCCTGGGTAGAAATCAATCATATAGTCACACAGGCACAGACATGAAAGTGTTAGAAACAACAGTAGGAGACAGGAAGTGACTTGCCAGCAACTCTCCATTTCTTTAGAAACAGAACACTTCGGTGACATGGATTTCCAATAGAATGTAGATGAAATGGGTAGTACCCAAACGAGTATCTAAATTATTTGATTCTGAATACATTCTCAGTTCCAAAGACAAGACTGGTTATATTTTGCAGGTGTTCAATGAAGAAAGGACTTGATTTATGTCTCTCTGCTTGGATGCCAACCAAAGTTTTGGCATTTTTCTTATTTTCTCCCAATCTGATCAAAGAAGAAACATCCTTTTGGTTTGCTGATTCACGGTAGTTTCAATTGGAGTGATAACGTACATGGAATGTTAAGTTTAACTGTTGTGTGAAAAGATACACCTTTCTAAGTCATCTAAACAATGGGAACAGGGTTCCCTGAGTTTGGGTGCAGATTAAATGGGATGATTTAGGTAAAGCATGGTGCCCAGCAGGTAGTAAGTATCCAGTAAACAGGCCTCTGCACCAAGCTTGTTGACTGCCAAGAAAAGAAATCCAAGAGTCAGGGCAATGCTGCACATTGCAAAATAGAACAACGTGGTCTTTTCCAGCCATTCTTTTCCACCAAATGCCAACCTTGGTGCTTAGTGCTTCATAGCCAATTAAACATGGGAAAGTAAAAGAAAAACAAATAGGCTGGAGAGAAAGGGCAGGTAGGTGGTGGGAGGACAGAGGAGAGCATGGCACGTTCAAGAGGACATCCCCTCCTGGCCTCCGCTGTCTCTGCGGAATAGGGCTGCCACCCCAAGGCCAAGCTTGGCTGAGTCTCTCATTCACTTCGAGCACTTTCTTTTTTATTGCTCCTAGTCATTTTTTCCTTATTTTCTTGAAGACTGGATGCAGAGTCTAGTTAATCAGATTCTTCAATGCTCCTCATAGGTCAGCACTATTATCTTCAGTTAGTACACAAGGGCCTCTCTTTTCTATTTTTTTTCTTCTTCCATATGATCCAACCCCCATAATATTTCAATGTATATCTTTAAATGTCTTTCTGTACAGTGTTGTTTCATGTGTGTGGTCATTACCCAAATGGTGTTGCATAGGCCCTGGCTGGGTGGCTCAGTTGGTTGGAGCATCATCCCATACACCAAAAGGTTGTGGGTTCGATTACCAGTCAGATCATGTATAATAGGCAACCGATTGATGTTTCTCACATCGATGCTTCCTCTGTCTCTATGTATCTATCTATCTCCCTTCCTCTCTCTCTCTCTAAAGTCAATAAAAACATATCCTCAGGTGAGGATTTTAAAAAATGGTGAATAAATTTTATTCTCTCCGCTTTTCACCTGATTTTGGAAACAGCCATGATACCATATGTGCATCCTGTTCTTTTTCCCCATGGCTGCTTAGTGTTCCATAGACTGCTTTCGTAGTTACCCATTCCACTGCTGATAACACCACCAGTCAGTTCCCACTCTCTGGCCTGCAATGGACCTTGTACATGCCCTGGGGTCAAGACCTAAGAGAACAATTCCAGGTCCTGCTCCTGAGGTTCGAAATCAAGCATCCTGAGGTGGTGGATATGATGGGAATTCATTAGTGATTGGATGCTGATGAAGAGCCTTCCCTGCTGCCAGCACTAAGTTTTTATGATTCTATAAAATTTAAGTCATAAAAAATCTGAAAGGCTCTGGCCCAGCCAGAGACTGGCTATCCTTTGGCCAATAAAAGGAGAAACTGGGCTT